TCACATTTTAATATTTTATTTTCAAAATTTTAGAATCTTTCCCATCGACTTCCCAACAATCATTTGAAGCAAGTAATGAATCAGAAATGGATTTTTGGCAATTTTGTATACCAGAATTACCGGAAGGCAAGATTTTAGAAATCATCATTTTAGCTACATGGGGAGATCCACATTATGTTGGTTTAAACGGCGTGGAAATATTCTCCAGTACCGGTTTGCCGGCTGAAATAATTGATGTAAGTGGAAAGTGAAAAAGGATATTTTAGCCACTTTTTTTTTAAAAAAAAACACGTATTTATCTATTAGCCTAAAGCCCAAATCTTACCACGCTTCTTTCGTTGCTTTTTTGGTCCGCTGGCTAGCATGCTTGCTGTCAAAGATGGAAAATGACGTCACAACGAGCCCAGCTTGTTGCCCGCATGCTGAATTTGCAAGTTAGAACGTGCGCTATTTTTGTAAATGGATCATAGACCATAATGAATAAAGCCCGAATTACATGACCATTGTTTTCTGGGCTAGCTAGCATGCTTGATTTTGTCGCGGATATCGGCGCTAGATATCATGATAGTTCAACGCGAAGCAAGAAAGCATGTTAGATTTTTGAGTGAGATTTGTTTTAACTTGCTACATTTTCAAAAATGATAAACCACATGACAATATACAGCCCCTCTATTGGTTCGAACGAACGAATCCATACACAAAAATAGTGCACGTGCTAATTAGCAAATCCAGCGTGCGGGCAACAAGCTGGGCCTGTTGTAACGTCAATTTTCCATCTTTCACAGCAAGCATGTTAACCAGCATACCAAAAAAGCATTGAAACAAGCGTCGTGTGATTCGGGCTTAATTTTTACGCATCGTAACTCATAATGCTATGATAATAATGATAGTAATGATTATTGATTGGATTAGATAATCATACAGCTGACATTTTGATAGTATATTCTGATTTTAAGTGTTAAATTATTTATACATATACATGCAGGGCCGGTCCTGGGGCCCTTAGCGCCTGCATGCAACATTTTTTCTAGCGCCCCCCCCCCCTATTAAATTGAACTGTTTTAACAGTTTATTATTAAAATTATATAAATATTTACATATTTTTTCAAAAACTGAATTTGCAAGTTAGAACGTGCGCTATTTTTGTAAATGGATCATAGACCATAATGAATAAAGCCCGAATTACATGACCATTGTTTTCTGGGCTAGCTAGCATGCTTGATTGTGTCGCGGATATCGGCGCTAGATATCATGATAGTTCAACGCGAAGCAAGAAAGCATGTTAGATTTTGAGTGAGATTTGTTTTAACTTGCTACATTTTCAAAAATGATAAACCACATGACAATATACAGCCCCTCTATTGGTTCGAACGAACGAATCCATACACAAAAATAGTGCACGTGCTAATTAGCAAATCCAGCGTGCGGGCAACAAGCTGGGCCTGTTGTAACGTCAATTTTCCATCTTTCACAGCAAGCATGTTAACCAGCATACCAAAAAAGCATTGAAACAAGCGTCGTGTGATTCGGGCTTAATTTTTACGCATCGTAACTCATAATGCTATGATAATAATGATAGTAATGATTATTGATTGGATTAGATAATCATACAGCTGACATTTTGATAGTATATTCTGATTTTAAGTGTTAAATTATTTATACATATACATGCAGGGCCGGTCCTGGGGCCCTTAGCGCCTGCATGCAACATTTTTTCTAGCGCCCCCCCCCCCTATTAAATTGAACTGTTTTAACAGTTTATTATTAAAATTATATAAATATTTACATATTTTTTCAAAAACTATTTTTAATTATTCTGAATTTAATACACAAAAAATTAGATATAATATAGAAGCGTATAAAATACATTGATTTTAAATTTATTTAGAAAACCAAGCGATTTGCGGGTTGATTATAATCAAATATTTTTAAATTTTCAATTATTTTAAACGTATGTGTAATATTAATATGTAGGTATTGAAACATTTTACTTATTTATTGTGCGATTTATTCTATTGAGCAAATCATGCCAAGAGAGCTAAAAAAACTAGCTTTTAATTTTCAATCATAACACTCGTATTTCGTGTTAGATTTTTTAAATTTTAATTTAATTTAATTTTTCATTATTTACAATATCCAAAATTACGTCGTAAACTTCTTCTTATTGATATCGTAAGAGCCGAACTGTATTCATCCTTGCATTCCCGTCATATTCAGAGAATGAGATTGTTGTTTTAAAGTTAAATTTTTGACGTATTTTAGAAGTATTGCCCAAAAATCAGTAAAAATGTAAAGAAATTACACATTTCTATCTTGAAAAAAAAAACTAATTATGCTTGATATGTATTATTTCTGCATAGTTGATAATTATTAAATTTAGCGTATGGATACCACTAGGTATAAAAAGAAACTTAAGATTTTTGTTCCAAAGTAAATTTTGCTTTTATTTCTCATATTTGTTCCATTTCCATAACCTTAACCACGCATGTCTTCAACATTCAAAGTTAATCAGACGCGAAACATTTGCAACAAAAACAAAAGCTTCAATCTTCTTTTATCTATGGCTACAATTCAATTTTTCGGAATAAATATGCCATTTTTTAACCACTGAGTCCTATTGTTCATTTTCCCGATTATAATTTGTTTATATTTTTAACAAGTTCTGTTTCAACTAAATCAGCTCGCAATTTTTCGTCAATAATGCCCAATAAATAATTTATTCTTTCGCAGGTTTGCGCTTATGGGATTGAACACTAGATTCACTAGGTAATTTCTTTTTTGATTCCACGGTAACTTCAAACAAAGAAAAAATTGAATAAGTAGATTAAGCAATAAACAGAGCTGTTATTTACTAATTTGCACAGTTATTAATCGGTTAATGGTTTCTACTGATATAACATTGCAAAATAACTATGCTTTTTATGTCTCCGTATCCCTATAGTTAAGTTAAATTGTTTATTATAATTTATTAAGTATTCCTAATTTTATATACATTATAAAAAATGTAAATAATGTATTATAAATTTAATTTCCGAAACTCGATTTGGCGCCCCCTAAGGCGTGCGCCCGCATTTTTTGCATGCATCGCATGCAAGGCTGGACCGGCCCTGTGTACATGCATATGTAGTCTAATAGGGAAACAGTATTTTGTCATGTGGTTTATCCATAAACTTTATAATACACATGAACTGCTAGTCCTCATACATTTCCCCTGTTAAAAAGTGTCAAATATAAAGGGCGACATCCACGTCAATCAAATACCCAACGAATGTTATCGAGAACGGTCCTGGCACAACACACACACCACTATACACTAAGTGGGTCCAAGGGCTCGCGCCTGAACCCGACAGACGTCCTCGAAGGATGTTACATTTATTAATGATGATTTTTAACCCTCGACTTGGACCTTATATTGCAGAAACTCTAGTGGAGGTGGGTGGTGGATGCCTTTTGTACTGATGGTTGTGTAACCTTTTGGCGACATCATCATATGTCATATCTCACATTTTTAAATTGCTCGTCGGTTGGAATTCCGATTTTGACTGTATCAAGTGAAAATAATTCGGAAAACTGAACTGGGAACTGGTGATGACAAAGATGAAGAATTGCAAGAGATTTATAAACTTTTCGACTTTAATTTTGATTTTGTCGCAGTTTGTTGGAGAAGGTGTTAAACATTTCGGTTTTACTTCAAATCTATCATTCTACAGGGAAACTTGCAATTATAGAATTTTATCTATTTCAAAATCAAAGTATAGGATTTAACAATATGCAGAAATATGGTTGCTAGATTTTTAGGTTTCGTATCAATATTAAATTTTTAAATACGCATTTAAGTCGAATAAGACTTAAATTTCTTCAAACAAACTTTTCAAGTAACACATATTTTTAGAAATGTTTAGTCTTTTATATAACTTTTATCAAATACATGATTTATTTATATATATTATTATTATTTTTGTTCAAAATACAATTAATTCCACTAATTGTCCTAAAGTCTGTATGCTTTACTTTCCTAGTTTGATTGGTTATTTGTTCATTTACTCAGGTTACAGCCGAGCCGTCTGATATAAATACGTTAGACGGATATATCAATGATCCCAGAGTGCCAACAAATTTGATAGACGGCGTGAATTTAACTCGAGACGATATGCATATGTGGCTGACGCCGTTCACGCCAGGAAGAGCTCACATAGTTAAATTTGAATTTCTTCAAGCAATTTCATTGGCACTGGTTCGAGTTTGGGTAGGTGCAAAGTTATTAAATTTAACTTAAATTTTTAAATTCGCGAACAATAAGTTTGTTTTCGCAAAAAAATCCGATTTGCTAAATTTATTGATGTGTTTTTCGACATTTCAAGTTATTCTGAATCGTCATTCGATGTAACTCGATAATGAGTTGTAACTGACGTTTGTCAATTCTGCGCAACGATCGGCCAAGCCATTTCTTTGTAATTAGAAGAAAAGTGTAAACTGGTATGTCCCCTTTTTATTCTACATTGTTTAACCGATTTTCAAAAATTCAAAAACTGTTCGAACGAATACGGTTGGGAATCGCGTTGAATAGTTTTAGGAAAAGATTGGCTGGGCAAGTTCTTCGTAATAAAATCCTAAAAAAAAATTTTTTGACTATTTTGATTAAACGTATGTCGATAGGTCTCATAATCTGAAATAACTTTCTTAAATATTATAGGCTTACAATAAACGGTTAAATTATAACAATTTACCAAAAATTTGGAAATGCGCCCCGAGCTTATGCGATTCTAATAAAAAATAATGCTATTTGTTCATATGTAGGTTCGGTGTTTCGTAGATAGATACTGATTACAGTTGATTATGTTTTAGTGAAAGCGAAAATTTTATTTAATAACAGTTGAACATTTTACCTAAATAGCTGAATTTCAATTCTTATTGGTTAAGTCGAATATGTATACTTTTTAAAAAATTGCAATTTGATCAAGAGTTAAAATGTTGTATGTAATAATGTATTTAATTCTTTTTCATTCAAAATCCAAGAGTGTTTGTGTTCCTTCCTCGAATCCTTTGATGTACCAAATAGTACATAATAGATAGTGAATTAATTTGTTTTAATTCACATTGATAACATAAGATCTATCTTATAGTCATATATTCATACGCGCAATTAATAAATGAATCGTGATTTATGAAAACTTATTCATATCTGATTTGTCTGATGTATCCGACAGTTTTTATAAATGGCTATTAATCTTCCCGTGTGAATTCTTATTGTTAAAAAGATTTGGTCACATAGTTCTCATAGTGACTCAGAAACAAATATGAATGGTTTTTACCGAACAAGCTCTTCTCCGGATTTGACGTGAAACTTGTTGTACTGATTTCACCCTATCTATTATTTGTAATTATTCTTCGGCAATTTGTTTTGGTCTAACACGTGCATTTTTATGATAGAATTTGGTTATAATTTATTTTTGTGGTAAAAATGATGAAAATAAAAACTTAAATTTTGTTTCCTACTACTAATAGACACCATGTTTACAGTTATGATGAATATTATCTTATCTCTATTATTATAATAATATGATATCTTATATTACTGTATAAATACTTTCGCGGTGAACTATCTTTGAACAAATGTATATACGTACACTGCTTTGGCATGGTTAGTATATAAAGAGATCGAAAGGTGTCACTACTGTTTTCAATTTTTTTGATCGAAAAAATAGATGGCTGCACTACAAATCGTTCGTTTATTTAGGGGAAAACCCGTCGGTTTTTTATAGATTTGATCGCTATTTTCAGTCTAATTTGTAAATACATGTTATTTATAATTAATTGTGTTTAAGTGAATATTATTAAGTTAATATGGTGAAGTGTAATGTACCAAATTGTGGTAACTCCACAAATAATATAAACATGCATGTCTTTCCGGCCAGTAATGATCAAATATACTTAATGATGTATTATGTTTATACAATGAAAGTTTGATGAAAATGTTCTAGATATTTTCAATTTGGCGCAGAAAGCAAATTATTCTTTAATGGATGACCTAACTCCTTTGGTTTGTGGGCGAAATCACAATGTCTGTGACGCGCACTTTACGAAAAAATGTGTGTGTTGTTTATTAAATGTTGAATACTACGATTAGGGGGCGTTCATTAATCACGTGATCGATATTTTAAGGATTTTAGGACCTCCTAAAACCTTGGTGATACGTGATGATATTCAAAATCACCCCTCCTCCCCATCAGCAAACATCACGTGCATTTTCAGTTGCAAAAAATCAAAAGAAATTTGATTTTTTTTTAATTCAAGTAAAAAATAAACAAACCTGATATCTTACTAGACCCCTCCTTCCCATACGTGATTTTTTGTCAAACCACCCCTCCCCCTAACAGCCTCTCGTGATTAAAAGACGCACGCATAGATAAGTAAACATAGTTTCATATAAGGACGCACGCCCCCTTATATGAATCTGTAACCTACTTTACTAGTACCATAGATAAAAGAAGAGTATAAGAATATGACTAGTACAGTACGTGGGAGCAAATGAAACTGTCAATATGTCAAAGGACATGTGACGTTGAGGCAGTCAGTATTCCCTTGACAATTTTGGCCACCAGGGGAAGGCGTGTCGTTTTAAGTGACATTTCTTTGGACTTGTCCACTGAGAATTATATTGAAAATTTTTATATAAAAATACGTATTTGCAGTTCACATTATTATATAAGGCTATGAACTAATATAGTTACTAAAATAATATTTAAACAATAAATAATTGTTAAATTTTTTGTCCATATACTTCTGATTGTCAATTCGAACGATTTATACAAAATCCCATTGCATACTATTCCTTATATAATATTGGATCTTTTATTCCTTGCCTTAACTTCAAAAGACACTTCATTTTGTTTCTTAAATTCATTATATATTCCAATGAAAACAATCCAATGTTTAGGATTCAACCTTTAATTGGTAGCTTGTAACATTGTCGAAAACTACTTTTTCATATTCCACTAAAATTTTGAGACCTTTTCTCTAAACATGGCCTTCTCAATATATTAATAAGCGTTTGTTAGATTCGATTTTATAAATATCCTTACCAACCATTTCAATATATCTCAATAACAATAAAATTAATTTACCTCATTTTTGACAATACATTTTTGTACTTTTATTTATGCCCAAATCACTTTAAATTTTTTTTTTAAATAATGCATCTCAAAGAAAGTTATTGTATTCTTAGATGAAGGATACATGATATGATGTTTCTGAAACTGCACGTTTTGTAAACAGAATAGAGTTGGGTAGCCGGGACAAGTTATATCTAGCATATTTTTCTAATTTTAAAATCGTTGTTTTTTCTTTCACGATAGTTATAATTATGATCATTCATATATGGAATTCAAAATGTTGAATATTAAATATATACAGAATTGTCTATGAAGTATAACTGTACTCAATGAAATAATTATAATATACGGATACCCTAAAACTTAAATGCATGAATTGCCGAAAAAAGTAGAGTTAGCTTTATAATGCTCTTATGCAGCAAGTTGATTTATGTAACTATCTGAAGAGATAACTTTGAATTATATCACATGATTTTGCATTAATTAATTTTTTAATAAATAAAGAACATAAGTTATTGGCATATATCTTCTACTATTTTTGATTTTTTTATTCAATACTACAGAACTACAACAAATCACGGGTGCATTCATATAGAGGTGCTCGCCTGGTCAAAATGCAGTTGGACGGGGTAACTATCTTTAAAGGAGAAATTGCAAAAGCCTGTGGCGGAGATAAAGGTGCACCTCAGGCTTTTGGCGATGTGAGTTTTAATATGATAAATAACCAGAAGTTGCATGCATAAGATATATCTTTCTATATAATATCAAATCAAATATCAAATATATTTCATATAATATACATTGTGCTACAAATTATCATTATATTACATAGATTATATTATTATCAATCTGTATCACTTTGGTGATGTAATTGTTGATGACTTCTTTCGCTTCTTTTGAGATTTAGCTTGACAATGCTCTTCAGAAGATTCATTACTAATTTCCTTAATACTACATTGATTCTTTGCTGATGAAGTATTTGGTTGTATGTAACTCATAAGTAATGGCCATGTAAATAAAGTTTTGAATATTTGCTTGAAATGGTCAGCATCTTCCACTTGTTTATGCAATAATACCTCTTCCATATTTTTGGGAGTATTTTTAAAGTTATCATGATTCATTGTTATCAGTAATGATCGCAGGCCTAACAAAGTAGATGAATTTGGTGGTAATAAAGTGTGTGAAATTGAACCATAAGTAGCATTTCTTATTGAATCATCTTCACAATTAATTTCTGTTTTTTCATTCTTACATTTCCGACTATATGTCTTGATTTTTTTGTTAGCTAATGGGTCATAACAAAATTCAGCATCTCCCGATGTTCTCTTAAGTTTTGATGATGTGGGAATAAGCCAATCTTCTTCAATAGAATCATTGTCAGAATCATTATAAATAGGATCAGTATAATGCCCAATCATATAGTTTAATAATAGTTTCTCTGTTTCTGTATAATTATGAAATGTAGTTTTTGATATTTTATTTTTAATAGTATCTTGTGTTAATTTTACACCAAATATTTGTAAAATATCATAAACCATATTTTTCATTGAGTTTAAATCAGATAGATTAAACACTGTTTTCGTCTGTCGATCTTTTATATGTTTATAATAATCCAATTGACCAAAATATTGAGATATTTCCAAATCAATTGAACTAGACGATTCAACATTGCTTAAAGGTGGATTTTCAATCTCAAGTTTTTCATCAATTTTATTGAGAATTTTACCAACAGGCCCTCTTTTAGGTATTCTAGGTTTTCTGGGAGCATCTTGTACTGTTGCTCCTGGATTTTCATCAATGAAGTCTTTCAACAAATCATACCTATGACGGCAGCTAGATCCTGTACGAAAATCCATCAATTTAGAAATTTTGGACCATTTTCTTCCATGTTGTTGTACTAATTCTAATAGTTGGATATCTTTCTCACAATCCCAAGCTTGCACAGGAGAATTTGTGTGTTTTAGTGTATTATTATATCGAACTTTTATTTGTTTCAAAGACCTTCCTGGAAGTATATCTTCAATTGGAATGGCTTTAAAGTCATTATTGTACGTTATTAGAGCAGCAATGATTGCACAATCTTCTTCTTCAGAAAAACGTCCCTTCTTTATGTTAGGATTAATTGTTAAAAATTTTGAATAGATTTGTTCTCTAGTTCTGAAGTCAAAAAACTGACAAATAGTTCCCCATGAAATAAAATTGTTACCTACTCTAAATTTTTCAACTGCTGATAATAATTTCTGTTCTTCTACAGGTGACCATCGTGCATTACTTGCAGGAATTACTTCTCTATGAAAGTGTATAAAGCACTGTAGATGTGAGCGACCACAATTAAGATCTTTAGCTATTTCTTCCCAATTATGAAACTTATGTTTTTCTGCAGCTTTTATAAGTTTCTCTGTTTCTGATTTTGACCATTTCGCTTTACTTAAGTTCGGATGTAAAACTAAATTCCACATTGCCTTGCATTCATCTACAGAATGTTGAGGAACATTCAAGGCAGCAATTTTATGCCAATCTATCGAAGTTTCATTGTAACAATCATCTCCCACTTGCCTTTTTATTGCACGCTTCAATTTTGATTTTTCTCTAAGTGTCCATTGGTTTGACAAATTCAAGTTTATGTACCTTAAAATATTTTTTTCACGTATCCTGATGGTTTCAACATTTACTGGGCCTGGAAAATAGTCGCTATCTTTAAAATATGGCGCTCCAAAAGTATAAGGACTCAACATCTTTGTTTTATTATTCTCAAAATATATTTCACATTGATTTTTTAAATTAAGTAGTGATTGTTTTTTCATTTGATTTCTGTGAACAAGATTCTCAAGAGCTTTTATCATTTTAATCAGTAATTTTTCATATTTCTTGCTAACTTCAATAGTTTCTTGCAAAAATTTAACTCTTTCCGTATCAATCTTCTTGACGACTAGGGCGTTATTTTCCATATCTGTATTAGCTGTACTATTATTTCTTATAATTTTACTTTGATTTTCTAATTTGGAACTCACACTGAAAACTGACGAATTTCCACTTTTTCAACTGAAGAATTCGCACTTTGTAATTGACCCATAGATAATAAAAAGCGCGTTTAGATCGTGCGCCCAAATTTATTTCCCGGGTTAATTCTCGACTCTCATCGGATTAAATGCCGCGCTATCATCGCGTCCACACCATAGAAGGGGTGCGTATAAAAATTACTATAGAAACGAACCAATATTATATTCAAACAAGAATAACAATTCAAATTCAATATACACATTTATTTAATCACTTATAGCTTATGATGGCTATAGTTTTTAATAAAGTTTTTGCTTCTATGAACAATAATGGTCTGACTGCTGTTCCTGTATCATCGAAGTATTTAACTTCTCGAAGGAATGGTTCATATTTTTGCTAGAAAATGTTTGGTTTTCCAACGATAGCCCGAGCCAATTTCTTGAAATTAAGAGGAGAGTGCTAAAATTTTCGCCCTTGCTTCAAAATCAAAAACTGTTTGGCATATATCGATCGGGCCGCTTTTTCGCAATTAGTTGTTGAAAAAAGAATTGACGATTTTGATTAAACTTACTGAAATACTGAAATATTGTGAGCCTGCGATAAGTCATTAATTTTCAAAATTCATAAACATTTGGAATAAATTTGAATTCTTATTGATTGAGTCGATTATTTACACATATCAGGATATTTTTATCGGTTTTATTTTTGAAAAACTTCTTTCAGCATTTGCGATTGCAACTGAGATTATTGTATGCAAAAATTACCTCGGGAAAACTATAATCAAAACTATTGAATTTTGTTAGAAATATAAATAAATATTGAATTTCAATTAGCAATAGTACATGTTGAGTTTGAAATAAGATTAAGGGTCGTTATATTCTTATATAACGGCTTCGGCTTATATTTTTCAAACAGTCCTTACCATTTATGCTTACTTATCTATGGTCCTTACGCTCCTTTCTTTTTCGAGACATTTAGCAAACCGCTTAATTAATTTTGATATTTTAATTTGGACAATCTATTCAAGTAATGACTTAATAAAATGCTACTTTTTTATTCTGTCATAACCCCCTGAAATTATATTTTTACAAGCTCATGTTTTTTTCGGAATTAAATTTAGTTGGAAGACAGTTTTAATGATCATTTTAACTTTTGTTATTTGTGAAATAAATCAAAAATTGTAACTCAAATAATAATATTTTACATTACTCGCGTTCTTTTTCAGCGACATTAAAAATGATTGAACAAAGTTTTCACGATTAATTAGCTTTTAGTGATTTTTTTTAACATTAATGGTTACTTACGGACGTAGGGGCCCTCCTGGCTCGGGGGCCCCATATTTTTGATACGGCTGATACGGCGGTAGTTACGCCCCTGTTAATTAAAAAAAAAGATAAACAGTTAAACTTTTCCATCATTTGTCAGTGCCCTACAATGTGATTCTTGCAGTGTTAAAGAAAAGGTGGAATTTTGTTATGAATATAAGTTGTTATAATTATAAATATCACACCTTTCAGAGAAGGATTGGTCTGACCGGTAATTTGTCTCTCACTCTTACCCCTGAAATTCCTAGCATTGACACCGTTAAATATATCAGTATAACTAAAATGTATATCAGAAGTCCTATAGTCCTATAGGAATAATAGATGCGAATATTTTGAAGTGTGCTCATTGATACAACTTACTAGGTTTTACGCGTATTTTACACACTCTATCTGTTTCTGTATACTTGAATTTTTACATTTTTCTTGGTATTTCTGCATTGTTGTACACCGCCCTTCTACTTTGACATGATATTTGTTTTAAGTTTGTAACAATAATCACTTAAACAGAAACAGGGCAACAACGGATTAAGGAAAATGATCGAACTTGTGCACCAAAAATACGAAACGGAAGAATGGCCAAACGACATTCTGGATGCATCCGGAATGTTACAATGATAAAAAAAAGCCCAAAGCAAACTAGACACAGGACGATCAGTTTGACTATTGACAGGAAAGGTTCTAGCCAAAATCTTTACGAGACGACTCGAAAATAAGATTAGGATTGGGCAAAGACCGGTTTGGAATGGAAGAGGTACCAGAGACGCCATTAAAATATTAAGAATAATGTGTCGACGTTAACGAGGACATATGCTTCTGTTTCATAGATTGAAATTTTTAGAAAGCTTTCGAGCGTCAACAGGAATACGCTTATGGGGATTTCGAAATTTATTGGCACCGATTGGAGAGACCACAAGCTGATTCAAAATCTGTATATGGGCCAAAAGGTAAAGGTTCGTTCGAATCAGGGAGATGATACAAACAGCGTTGAAATAGGTAAAGGGAGTGCAACAAGAATGCTCCCTGCCATCGATCTTATTCAACATGTTTGAAGAATCAACGAAATACTTGAAGACACTGGAGATTTTTCGATTGGAGCAAAAGAATCACTACCAAGTACGCAGATGATCTCGTGGTGATTTCGAAAACCGAAACCGAGCTACAAATCATGATGAGCAGAATCTTTGAAGTGCGTAGAAGATATGGAATAGAGATCTACATCGACAAATTGAAAGTGATTAGCCGATGAAGATAACTGTAGTTAACGAGAATTGGAAGTTGTGGATCACCAAGTACTTGGGAAGTGTGCTGACGAAAGAAAAATACTGTACGAGAGAGATCAGGGCAAGAATCGCAAACGCCAATGCACTATTTACGAACAAGAGAAAGCTACTAATGAATAAACTGATCCTCGACTTACGGAAGAGGCTAATAAAGTGCTGGAAATTTTAAAATGTGGTGCTGGAGATAATCTTGGTAAAAATATTTTTAACAAGTCTTTTCTCTATTATATCTTCAACCAGTCTACGGACAACACATATATTACACACTATCTATTTGTGATTTTTTTAAATTAGTGTTTTGCGAAATATTGTTTAATTACAAGAGTAATGTTTATATTACATAGTGTAGTGCATTACCATATCATGATACCATAGATTATTAAAATCTTCTAATTTAACACTAAGATTAACTAATTGTAAGTACTATTTACTCTTTATTTTATTCTTTTCACTCGAATTCAATTGTTTTAGTTTTTTATTTTATTTTTAGTGCTGAATGAAGACTAGGATTATAGCCGAAACGTATGGATGTAAGATAATTTTTTGACTAATTTGACTTTTTACATATCAATAAATAAATTCAAATATACTAATATTTAATATTTAAATATATATATACTAGATGACTCGACAGACGTTGCCCTGTATCCACATCTACGTTTTTTTTTATATCCTATACTAATATTTATACCGTTCGGTTCAAAATAATCATTATTGGTTTTCGAATTACTATTTACACCAATATATGAGTGATGTTAAATGTAGAACTGCTTCAAATAAAATGATTATTTTCAATTCCCACAGTTAACACTTTAATTATCCATATAACTAATATTAAAAAATGTTCAATAAAATTGTATATTAAAAATTATACACTGCGATTTATAGAACAAATTTATTTCCAATAGCTCAATTTATTTTAAAGCATTTAAGTGTTATTCTATGGTTTTAGTCATACCTGTAAATGTGGATGTATAATTGAATGATTTTTTGTACACGTGTTGAGAATTGAAATCTTCTAAAAAGTATAACAAATTCAGAAAAAATTAATATACTTATAGCATGCGCGAAAAGGTATAATATCATCTTGGATTTTTCTACCCAAAATATTTGCTTCAATAATGTTGCCTATAATTTTTATAAATTCGTACCATATTTTAACTGGCTTTTAGTATTTTAATATCTAAATTACATTTTTCTCACTAATAATTCAAAATACAACAAGTATTGTGATTCAACGTACGATCAACAAAATTATTGCAATAAATGGAGAGAAAAAAAAGCGTATGCGCTGTGAATTTATTTACGGTGCTCCAATTTGCTTGATATTTTGGGAATATGCTAATCTTAATCTTAAGTTCAGAAGTGAAAACAATTTGCACTCCGTCAGCAACCTCCCCCCCCCTCCCCCGCATTAATTGGATTATAACTCTTTTAATTCTGATTTTATCAGAACTTGTAATATACTATTTTCAAGGTGATTAAATGAGCTACAACTTTCTCTATCATAAATTTCAAAAAAAAATTAAAAAGCAATAATTAGTCAGAAAAATATCTTGTATTTTCATATTTATACTTTTATACATATTCTTTCAGAGATATTGTAATGAGAAATTGGTTCTTTTCTTAAATGGATTTTTTTCATGAAATCACGAGTTTTTTTTAAAATCGTTTGTGCTAAAGTTGTGGTATTCTCTAGAATCCATCAAGATATCTTAAACCAAGTTAATTCTAGATGGAAAACGATTATTTTTAATTTTGGCGAAAATTGCACTCACAAAACTATTTGATCTAAATGAAAAAAAAAACATTGTATGCGTCTTTTATTTGCATTATAGATCACTCATTTTACACGCAGAAGTACTCATTTTAAAGCTTATTTTGAGCACTATAAAAACCCATATTTATATCTAGCTTAATATTGTTCTTAGAAAACTATGAAATAGCGATTTATTAAGATTTTAATTGATATAATTTTGTTCATTACATGATTTTCGTTAAAATGTATATTTTTGAAGATATTAGCAAAAAAACGTTGAAAAACGCAAAAAAGAAACAAATTTTTAGTAGCCAGTAACTTGATAAGTAATTGCTTTTTTGAAAAACATTATTAAACATTTTTCTCTTCTA